ACTTTGGAGTTAGTCTCCCCCATCCACAGTCTGCAGAAGGACCACAGTCTCTGGTCTGAAGAACTACTGTATGTTCCTGCACTGTAGTCCTTTTCCAAAATATTGCAATTGCAGAGTTTTCCAAGTGGACTGAGAGTCTGTTTGTGGAAAGAAGTTAGCACAGAAAGTAGTGGCAATTCAACTGGAGGCCATTTAGTGACACTGCAGGCAGAGGTTGGTTTTCTTCCTAAGCGTAAGTGTCTCTGCTGTTGCTGGAGGCAGCACGCTGGAGCTGATAGAGAAAATTCTTGTCTGATATGGTAACTCCTATAGACTTTATTTATAAAATTGAATAATAATCTTGACACTTGTGTGACAGCAGTGTCAGCTTACTGTGATGATTTAGGTCATTAACAAATGGCAGCTATTTGCCATCTGTCATTTATATCAGCCCAGAACCCTTATGTAACTTAGTGTTGGTGGAGCAGACTAACTTTCTCTTAATATTTTTGCAATAACAGGCTTCTATTTTAGTTTCTGAATTTTTTTCCTCTGGATGAGGTTCTTGTCACTTTTGTGAGAAAAAAGGAAAAAAAAAATGCTACAAAAGAGGTAGACACTGAGTATGTGAGCTGTGACTTCTGTGGACTGTTCATCTTCCAGAACAAATGCCTATGCTTCTCCAAGAGGGTGCAGAATGGGACAGATGAGACTCCTGTTTCCAGCAGCTGGTCAGATGCAGAACCTCACTTGTCCTTACTTGTTTGACAGTAAGATTCAAGTACCTACTAAATTTTTGTGGGATGGGGACTACTGAGATCACTTGCAACCAAGGAATTCCAGGATGGTAATTCAGCTGTTATGGAGCAGCTATTGCAAATCTGAAAACAGCTTAAGAGTGTCAGACCACAGACTGTTTTGAACCCCTTAGTTCAGTGAGCTGGCTTATACACAGAGAATAGTTATTTCTGATGAACTCTGTCTTGGATGTTACAAGCCAAGATACTCTTCCTGGAGTTCTTTACCATTTCCAGAACTAATTAGGCACTGCCATCTCAGTAATGCAATTACTGTGACTCAGGATTAAGGAAAGAAGTGTAGCTGAATCCCGATCAAAAAGTCAACCATGACACACAACCCTGGGATAACTGGGAGATAGGCTCAGCTGACTTTGAAGCTGTGGCTCATATGCCTTACCCCAGTGACCATTTCAAAGAAAACTGAGCTCAGATGCCTACCCAGTAACACTCTTCAAATGTGAACAGCAGTCCAGCTCGTTCGAAGTATAGCTTGATGTCACTGTGGATATACTGGGTACTTGAAGGTTGTGGGGATTTCAGCAAGCAGAAATGAATAGAAGAAACAGTTATGATAATAGAGATAATTGGAGTTATATTTTAACAGAGTGGACATAATTAAGGTGTGGCATGTAAGGTTTTTAGAAAGCAATATATTAATCAATTTACAAGGGATTGAGCCTGCACTGCCAGTGTTAGCTGCCCGAAGGCTGGCATTGCTTAGCCTGGTGGCCTCTGAGTAGCATCAACTAAAACAGAATTGCTGTGCTGGGTAACTTTTATAGTAGATTTCTGTGAGAAACAGGAAGGAACAAACATTCTGCTTAACAGAAAAACTTGCTTAGTTGCATGAACACAAGGGATAAGGCACCTGTTTTTCATGCAAAAAAGCATTGTGGTATGTCAGCATGTTGGCACTGCTAGTGAATAAGCTATTTTAAACATACATCCCAGAAATAGAAAAAAAGCTATGATATTTAAGTCCACAAACCTATCTTAAATGGATGAAAAAGGACACAAAATGATACCATGTAGTTAGAATTTTGGACTCCAATGAGAAGTGAATAAAGAGTAAACACGGACTCTTTCTATAGGCAGCTGTTAAGCAACTAAGTTTTTAAACACTTCTAAAAATTTTGACTAGCAAAGCAGCACACTATGGTAATAAGGGTTGCAAGGCCAACCTTATGCACGAATAAACGTATTGATATGTTTTAATGGTATTTCTGAGGGTTGATGTTGCAATAACTGCCTTCATTAATGATCTTTCGAAGCCAAGTGAAGGCATTATTACAGAGGTTAAATCATTCTCTTACAGCACAAAGATAATATATTGATGGTGTATTTGGAAGGCTCCTTTGTAGACAGAGCACCAAACAGTAGAAGTTCTTGGATATGATTGTAAAAATTTTGTAGACTCAAAAGCCCATTTTTACTGTGTCTGACTGCTTTCCAAGCAAGCAAAAATGTCTTTTTGGAATCAACCTCGCTGGAAGCAGGAAGCTTAAAGTTATGGGTGGAATTTGTATACTGTATTAGTGCTCCTAAGAATGAAAATAGCAACTAGAGAAAGTGGTCCTGATCTTTGTCCTGTGAAAACTTCTTATTTTTCCAAAGGAAAGCTATGAGTAGCTTGTAGCTTTTCATTTGTTTTTTTTCTTTTTTTCCTTGTTTGTTTGTTTTTGGTTCCTGATTTGAATCACTGTCTCTCTTCCCCTAACAGTACACAGAGATTCTGAAATATGAATCACACTACTGAATCTGTAGTAGCTACCATGCCACTAACAGCATCAAGATATTTAAACAGGGAGAGGACTTTTTTCCTTGGGTCTTAGCTATTGTATTTAATTCTGATTTAGAGGATAGATCGGGTTGATGTCTGGCATGCCACAGATGCATGCGCATGAATTCAGTCAGGGAATGTGCTTCTCGGAAAATCAAATTAACTGCCCTGCAGATAACAACATCTCTGATTTTGCAAACTCATCTAGCACTCCTCTATGACTGAGATTTATCAATGAGATGTAACCCACAACTTGCACGTTCCTGATTTTTCAACAAGCACATTCTTCAGATTGTGTTTGAGAAATACTGAGAAAAAGTTAAATTTGAGAGTATGATTATGTAGGTTACTATTTATTTAAACTACTTTAAAGTTTATATTGAAATTAGTAAAAACAAAGTCATTGTTTTTAAGAGCTTACTCCATTTTTGTGAGAATAGGTACTCCATTACTCTTGTTTTAGATGGTGTAGAAATGTATTGCTGTTTAATAGGAAATGCAAAACTGTTGGAATATTTATACTATGACTCAAATCCCCTGTGTTTTCGGTCAATGAAACCTGGGCAAATTTCCTGAATGACTTCAAGAGGGACATTAAGCTTCGTTGAAAGAAATGATATTTGAAAATGTTGAAACTGTGAAATTCCCTAGGAGTGGTTGTCTGCAAATTGTGTTGTGTTCTCTCAAGTTAAAAAAATGCCATTGAGATACATTAGTTGCATGTTTTTAATTACAGAGGTTTTCCTGTGTTTTAGCTAATATTGCAAATACTTTCTAATGGGTGTAGTGCATATAATTCAGTCTCCTCAGGCAGATTTAAATTCCAACACACGGTGCTGAGGACTTAGAGGAAGGTGTGAAAACTGTTGAGATGAGCCTTTGTTATTTGGGTATCCGAGGCACTTAAAGCTGATCATAAGAGCTGAATTTTTGATATTGTATCTACATATTGTTAATGACATTGTATTACTGAGGCCTTAATTTGTCAATGTAGTGACTTCCATACCACGAGAATGAGTTTTTGGAACATATTAATTAATTTGAGGCTTGTAACTCCTTTAATTTTGAGCATTTAAATTGGGGTCTAGGTAAAACTCAAAGGGATTTTATGCTGCTGGAGAGAGAGTCTCTGCATAGTGTCACAGAGTATTTTACTGCATTATGGTGCCTTCAGTATTTTAGAGAGGTTTAGTTATGAGGTGTGTGTATCTTCAAGAGATCATGGACTAGTACTGTAATAAGAAAATATGTGTTTTTATACATGTCTATTGTCAGAGAAGTTGTAGTTTTAATGTGGTCTGTGAAGTGTGGATCCCTTTGGATTCTCCTATGTGGGTTTCAAAATGAGGAACTGCAGTGAGATGCTGCAGTGTGAATTGGATTGTCAGGCCTGCTGTTGGTAGGAGAGTTTTTTGGTTTGTTTTGTTTTCCTTTTCTGAAGCAAAGTTGTCTCAAGCCCTGTATTTTGTGCTGATTTTCATTCCTGGTGGATCTCATTATAAACCATCAAAGCAGTCTTTGATTGGGAAAGAATTCTACCTGTCTGATGCATCTGAGAATAAATAAAAATAAAATTGTGCTTTGTCTCTCCACTCCCTCCAACAGTTGGTGTTTCATTGGGAAGGTAATTGATAAATTCAAGAGTAGCAGAAATGAAAGTTATTGTGGAAGGAAAGACAGAAGTTTTCAAAGGAGCACATTCAGAGATGTAGTGTTTTTACAAATACTGCTATAAAAAGAATATGAGCAAATACCATATAGATTTTTCCTATATCATAGTGAATTCTCAGTAAATACCAGGAAGGATACCATTATCAGATGAAATGAATATGCTAAAGTTCACACTAGGCATTTACTTAGGTTCTGCTCTGATTATGGAGAGATTTTCAGTTTTAAAGTTGATTTTTAATTCTTACTAGATATATTCATGTAGATAGAATAATCCTCCCTTCATGAAATAGAATTATTAAAAAATGACTAGGTTAATAATGCAAATTTAACAATCTTGACATGCAAATGTTCCTAATAAAAAGAGTAGCAAACTCTAAGCAGAGCACTTAGTTTGCAAAGAATTCAGCATCAGGATTTGGTATTGCTGAGTGCAGTTATCTGAAAGTAATATATATGAAAACAATAAAATACAAATACAATGCAGGTTGGGGTTTTTTTGGAGAAGTCAGACAACTTAAGAAAGCTGGAAATCTTTTAATTAATTTTTTGCAAAACTGCTCATTTAAATTTGTAAGTGCTTAACTAAACAAAACCTTAATTGAAAGTGTCAGAAGTGATCCATAGCTGCATTACAATTTTCTTCTTTATGCATCATTTCCTTTGCCATTTAGTTGGAGACCAACCACTATTCTGACCTATCAGTTAAGACAGAAAATGTTCACGCTGGTTTCTTAGTGCTCTTTAAGGGGAAGAATGAAAAGAGGCTTGGGTTGAAAAAGATATGAGTTTATTGGCTATTTTTTTTCTAAACTAGTGTTCTGAACAGATGGCCACAGGACAATTTTATGGATGCAAAAGGCTTTATTCCACATGTACTCTTTCTATCCACGAGTGTGATTTCTGTTAAAGGTATTTCTAACAATGACTTTGTTAAATCCAGATGTCTGTAGTAAAATGGATGATATAAAAATCCTTAACTGGCACAGATGAAGATAGAAAACTAGTCAACTGATATTGTGTCTAATTCATTTAAGCCAGTGTATCTTGCTATTATCACGTAGATTTTTGTGTACAGGATAAATATTTCTCAAAAATATGCGAATGGGTACGTATTTTTGATGGGCGTGCCACTCACTTTGTGAATTTATGAAAAGCCAGTTATAAAGCTTATTTTGAATAAATACATATAAAACCTTTTACTACACTGTAAATTATTTGCTACTTACTTAGACAGAGTAGGTTCTCACTAGGCTCTCTGTGTTGTTCTGCAGAATGAGGTGGAATCATTCTGCTTTAAGAATCTAGACACATACTGGTGTGGCACTCACACCATCCCAAGAGAAGGGTTTTCTCCCAAGGAATCCCAGCCTCTGAGAGCACTGAGGGAAGTTGATCTGGTCTCCCACTATGCTTTTGGAGAAACATTGTCTCAGAAAGTGTACAAGGGATATAAGAAGCTGTTAAGTAATCCAGTTTATTGAATACATTCTTGGGGTGTTCCAGACCTTGATGCTTTCCTCTGAATTATGGGTATGTCTTACAAATGTCTCACAGCCTATGTGGCAACGCCGGGGCAAAGGTGGTTTTGGCAATTTTCAGTGCAATTTTTTGTGCCTTAGAGGCAGTCAGGCAGGCTTGCCCTGGGCTCACCTGAGCTACTTTGCTCTGTAATGGTTCAAATTAGGTCTGAAAAGTTCTTTCTTTGAGATGTCAGCAGGCAAGACAACACCTCATAACCCAGGAGAGGAAATCTATCTGTTGTACTCTCACCCTGCTCTGCTTATCAAAATGTTTTCAAAGACTCTTTCAGATATAAGAGTATTTTAAAGGGAAATCACCTGAGTTTTGGCCCCAAATAGTCTTTCTTGGGGCAATATAGGATTCATCTGTCTTTTGAAGTTGGCAGTTCTATCAGTTTACATCTTCTGTTTTACAGACCCTTTATATTTTGAAGAGGAAAATTCATGGTCATCTTTCACAGAAAAAAAACCCTTTCTGGTTGTCTCTGCAGCGAGAGATAAAGAATAAGTTTTGAAAAATATAATAACAGGAAACTAGGCTAGCAGGAAAGATTGCACTATTCTATTTTGCTGGGAATTGTGGAAATTGATGGTTCGAACCTGAATGGAATAAGCATGAATTCCAGCCCTTTTAGCCCCAGTAGTTCATCATGTGTCTCATCAATTAATATAATTGCTGTATTATCAATATGTAGTTTCCTGAAAATACTGGAAAGGCTGAATACAATGAAGAGGCCCAGATTTGTTGTTGGCTGATAAATGCCATGCCTCTGTTTCTTAAGCAATCCTACATTGTCCACAGAAATGCTCCTGTACCAAGTTGTATTTCTGAACTGTAAACTCTACTGAGAAATGAATGCTAACCATAGTAAACATGAGATCCAGGTCTCTTTGCATATTGTGACTCTTAGAACAAATGTCATCTGGACTAAAAATAAATCCCAGCTGGAACATGGGATCCAAGGAACTTGGATCCTAGAGAAAACTGAATATAGAAAAGCATTGTGTAGCTGGATTTATTTCAGATGGAGGCTGGTGAGTGCAGAAAAAACGAAAGCTCAGATCCGTAATTTCACATTCTGGCATGGGGAAGTGTGTAATAAAGTCCCTGGGTCATAAAGAGTTCGGCATGTGGAGTTCCATGAAGGAACCAATAGTCATCTTTGTTTGCCTAAGAGCAAAAATACCTTTTATGTACAAACCAAGTCTAAACTGGAAATTGAAGCATGTTGCAGGAATATAAACTGGGGTTTATGACTCTGTTTAATGGCACTTAATGGAAAGCTATTTATACAAATCAAACAGCACATTTGTGTGTGTGACTGCCCTTCCTTGCAGCTTGTTGACTGTGTGCAGTTCTTATTTCATGGAGGGAAGGAAGGGTTCACTGACGTGCCACCTCTGAAAGGTGCTTGCTGTTCATTCAGCAATGGGCTTGGGGCTTCCACAATGAGATTTATTCATGGAAGTCCTTCAGTGGGCTTGGAAGGACTGGAAGGAGGTGAAAGTTCCCTTGGAAAACAAGTGGTATTTTACATTTGCATTCTTAAGAGGTTGTTACTAAACTTATCTTTGGAACCACGGAATGTTGTACACAGAAAGGCATAAAAGCAAGTCGCTGTTGGCTTGTGTTGAATGCAAACATACCAAAGTGACATATAAAGTCAGTAAGATGTACTTGGCTTGGAAATCCATCTTATTTGTGCTGTCAGTTCCACTCCTGATGAGGTGGTGAGTTGTGCTGAGTGCTTCTCCCCCTGCCTCCTGTGAAAGCATTAGTCTGCAGGAACATGACGATGTCTTCTTGTGACTCCCGTGCTGTGACTGTTTTCGGTGTCACGTGCTGGGACTCACTGCAGGCAGGTCACACAGATTAATGTAATCTGGGTTGATCTGAAACACCACAGCACACACTGCAGATTAGTTCCTCACTCACTGATTACAGCTGACCTAGTTTCCTGACATGCCCTTACATTTTACCTTATAAAGAATGTAAGGCAAAACCAACCTTTGTATTAATTAACCCTCTTTAATACCTGTCATGCTTTCACCTTTTGGCAGAGGCTCACTAAGAAAGAGATTCAAAAGGATATCTTGTGCAAAACTGGAAAGAGGTCATGTAGTACTCTGCTGATTTTGCTTTGTTACTAAGGCTTTCATCAATAAATATCTCACTATTATGAATAGTTAATCCTTTCCTCTCAATGAAGTGCAAAGTAACAGATACTACTACGTTGTAACTCAGTGTAATAACTGATTACTATAACAAACCACACTAATAGCTCTCCCACTTAAGATAAAGTGATGAAAGCATATGCATTTTTATTTAGCCTCTTTCAGGCCAGTGCACAAAACTGGAATGTTACTTTTCTGAATTAAGTCCTATAAATACGTACAACTGAGGCATTCTATGCATTTAGTTTGTGCATGACCACCATTGCACGAGAAACAAAGAGGCTTGTGTTTCTCTGGCCAGACCTTCTCCTGATGAAAATATAGATCTGGGACTTCGACTGCAGCTTTTGCATATCTGACTCTTGAAGTCAAAAAGGTGTTGATTACTGAGCACAAGCAGATCAGGCTTCTATTCCTGATTTTCTTATTTTTTAAGAATGTTGTTTGTTTGTTTGTTTTAAAAAAAGTTTTTTAATTGCATGTATTTCACAGGATCAGAATTTGCAGCGTGGATTTGGGTTAATAAGTTACATTGCGTAGTTACCTGCTTCTGCAGTTGTCAGTGTGTTATCTAAAATATGTGTTGTGTAATGAGCACTGCACTGTATAGTGCATAATGCATGGTGGAATGTATGTATTACATAAGGAATATAAAGCTAGTCCTAGGAAGGTTTTTCTAGCCTGTTGGCCCGTTGCTGGCAGCAGCCAATGCACATGGAGGAAAGAAAAAAATGTGCGAAACAGCAGTTTCCCTGAAGTATCCTTCTGGCTTTCAGCAATTAGTACTTCAGGGAATTCTGGAGCTGGTTACCACACACAGTGAAAATAACCGCTCAGTGAACCTGGGAGTCTCTTCTGCTTGTGAATTCATGGATACTGTTTGTCTAAACCAGCCTATGATGATGAGCTCTAGGACGTAGGTTACGCTCTCCTGGTACTGACACATTTCAGTGGACACTAAAGTGGCAATAAATAGGTAAAGCAGAGACACCTGTTTCTTTATAGAATGACCCCACAGGGCACTGTTATCATAGCATAATTTCGTTGTGTGCTTTATATCACATGGAATATTTTAATCAGCATCCCGAAGAATCTTGGACTTGTGCCGGTTAATTTCTTCAAAATTACAGAGAAAAAAAGGAAAAAAGCTTAAAAGATTTCTCATTTTTACTTGAATTTTGAGTTTTAGTTTTAAAATACAAATAAATAAGCTTTACTGTGGCTCCACCAAGTACTGATAAGTGTATTTTTATGTGACATGGAGAAATATACTTATGTGAAAAGGAATATCACATAGAAGAGAAAAAAGTATAGATTTCACCATTAAGTTTGATGAATAAGTATTGTGAAATCAGTTTTTCTTCTGTTTATAAGAATCATAGGATGTCTTAAGTTGGATGGGACCCATCAATTCTCTTGCAGGGCTATGTAAAACAGAATCACATGACTAAGGGCATTGTCCAAATGCTCCTTGAACTCTGGCAGGCTTGGTGCCATGAACACTTCTCTGGAGAACCTGTTGTGGTGACCAAACGACCTCTCAGCGAAGAACCTTTTTGTAACACCCAATTTGAAGTACCCCTGATGCAGCTTCCATTTCCTCATGTCCTATTGCAGCTCACCAGGGAGAGATCAGCACCTCTCTGTCCACTTCCCCCCTTGAGAAAGCTGTAGACTGCAATGAAGTCTCCCCTCAGCCTTCTCTGAGCTGAGCTGAATGAACCAAGTCACCTCAGCTGCTCCTCTTAAGTCTTACCCTCGAGGCCCTTCACCATCTTGGTTGCCCTTCTCTGGACACTCTCTAGTAGCTTTATATCCTTCTTATAATGAGGCACCCAAAACTGCCACAATATTCCAGGTGAGGCCGCCCCAGTGCAGAGCAGAGCAGGACAATCCCCTCCCTTGACCGGCTGACGATGCTTTGCCTGATGCCCCCCAGGACAGGGTTGGCCCTCCTGGCTGCCAGGGCACTGCTGACTCAGATTCAGCTTGCATCGACCAGGACCCCCAGGTCCCTTTCTGTGGGGGTGCTCTCCAGCCTCTTGTTCCCCAATTTGTACATATAACCCCTTTTTGTATGAATTACCCCCTCCTAGGTGCAGAATCCAGCACTTGCTCTTGTTAAATTTCATATGGTTGGTGATTGCCCAGCTCTCTGGTCTATCCAGGTCTCTGTGCAAGGCCTCTCTACCCTTGAGGGAGTCTGCAGTTCTTTCTAGTTTAGTATCATCGTCCAACTTACTTAATGTACCTCTGATTCCTGCGTTCAGATCATTTATAAAAACATTGAAGAGCATTGGCTTTAAAATTAAGCTCTAACTTTGGTAGTCATGACCTCAAATGGCAGTTTCTGACCTGTAATCTCAACACTACTGATGTCTCACTAGCCTGTCATTCCAGGTGAGTGGACAGAGTCACAAAGAAAGAGCTTTACAGACACCTTAGGCTACTTAAATAGATATTCTCAATTCCTTGCAGAAAAAAAGCCAAGGCAAGACTTCGTGTGTTTCATTTAAAATTAGGCAGACTCCTTCAATGGGATTACTGCAGTAATAAGCAAAGGAAAATGTACAAGTTTAAGCTTTTAAATTGCTAATATCAATTATCTGCTGAGATTATGGGAAACGAAAATGAAGTAGTCACGTTTTCATTTTATTTTAGTTCTAGTGTTTTCCCTTTCATTTCAACCCAGAGATACTTTTCTTGTACCTTTTATCGTTTTATCTGGAAATGTGTCAAAGAAAATCTATAAGTTTAATTCATGTTGTTAGAGGTTTATTCCAGTATTGTCTTCTTTCTCAGATGGTAGAGAATGGTCTCTCTTTTTGCTTTGAAAGCTCTGGCCTAGGCATTTTGGTAGAAGAAGAAGAAAGAGAAAAGATTCTATATGATAAAAGAAAAAAATGCTAATGAAAGAAATATGTGTTTTTACTGAGAAATAAAAGCTACAGAAAAGAAAGTAACTTGTGAAAATACCTGTCTCCAGAAATAGCTACTTCATCGCAGGAGCAGTGTTTTGTGAATCTGTTCCCCTCTTCTTGTTCTATAGGTACCTTCAGGTTAATTCATATGAATGTATCTGTACTGTTCATATTGACTGAAAGAAAATCAGATTTTTTATTTCTGTCTGAAAGATTTTAAGAACTACTTTCTACTCTGATTTCCTGGGATTACCAATTCCTTTGAAGCAAAACTGTCAAATATCAGAAGAACAATGCAGGCACTTGATTAATTTCAATAATCACTATAAATTTCTTCCTTTTATCCCATCTTTCTAGCTGGGATTTAAGATCCAACTAGTTCCTGTGATACAGCACAGTCTGTATAAGTTTCTGCAATGAGAGTGAAATTCCATCAGTTCTTTCCCAGCTGCTGTTCTCTGGGAGTTTAATTTTGGCTCTGTCTGGAGATGTTCTATCAGACTGCACATGATGGGTTTGGTTTATAACCCGGTGCAATCGAGTTTTGCTTTGGCAAAACAGTGTATGAGGTGGGAGGGGATCTCTTGTGATCATGGTTACAGCTGCAAGATTGAAAAACATTTCATTTGCCCTATTGTGAGAAAGACTGTGTTAGTTGTGCCTCTGAATAATGGCAGCATGGTCTAGATTAATTTCTTTGATCATACAACTGTGAAGCTGATGGAAGAAAAAGACTGTGTATGTTCATAGAGCAGAAGAAGAGCTGCTATATTAAGCTGCAAAGGCAGCAGTCAGGCTGCCTGAATAGCAATGTATTTCTCAAGCTGAAATAAAGCCAACATTGAATGGAATTTTAATTTCAGGGTGCTGGTTCCCAGTTGGACTGCAAGGTGCAACTCAAAATTTGCCTGGGGAGCCGAGCTTTGTAGGGCATGACTGTGATGATAAATTCTGCCTTGAAGTGTCAGCAAGGCGTTAGCTGGTAATTCAGAGCATCCAAAGATGCTACCTGGTGGTGTTTTATTTTCAGAGAGCTCATGCATTCACACCTCACGTTGCTCTCAGAACTCAACACCTCCTAGGAATTTTTCTGTAACTGTCAGTGGGATTTGGATCCAGTCATTCTCTATGATTCAATGATGTTCAGATCAGGGACTTTTTGACCTTTGAAAACTTTTAGTAACACAAAGGACTAAAGCAGTACAAATCCAGTACAAATTATGAACAGTCATCCATGGAAATACATAATCTCTAGAGCTGTATTACACAGAAAATTAACCTTAGTGGTATCCTTAGATGAACGTTTGTGTACCATTCAAGCAGCATATCTCACATTATGTAATTAATACATTTTGTATAGAGTACACAGAGTCTGATGCTAACACCAATTGGCAGGTGCTGGCCTGCCACCCAGTAATAAGCTGAAAATTTGCAAATTGCTTTTCCATTACTGGTCTTATGTGTGAAAGTTCGTGATTTAATTTGAACTAGAGGATGTGGCATAGTGCTGTCTTGGTAACAGAGAAATATATAACGTCCTAATCTCAAGAATCATATCCATTTTCCATATCTTGTTCCATTTATTTCTTTAGCAGTTGGTTGCATTTATGAAAAGCTGATGTGTTGAGTTAATAAAAAGGATGATTTTTCTTTGAGCTTCATTACCTTGAAAATTCTGTAAAACAGGTAAATTGGATCTTTGAAATAATGTACATTAAAGTACAGAACCTTGCTGCTTCTCCTGGATAAAAGGAAAGATGCTGCTATTTAACAGACTTACTAAATTGATTTATGCTATTCATGAGTACTCCGCAACAGTGTTTTCAATGCTTTTAAAAGTAGGCAGTCATTTCAAACTTTAGAAATTCTATCAAATCTGATCTTGGGGGGATCAGGTTTTATGTGTTGTCCTGAAATTTACAGAAATTCTGCTTTGAGTCCTCAGAAAACTTGAGATTAGAAGAAAAGCAGGCTCCGAACAAGTTCTGTGAAACTGCTGTGATTTGCCTTTTGTAACTATCTCGTAAAGTTAGATAGTTCCCTCTCCTCAAGCAATTATAACTTAATTTCTTTATATTAATTTTGATTTTTATTCTGAGAGTTTATCTCTTCATTACATACTCTAGCTGTAATTTAGCTTTTAAAGCATTGCTGATTAAAAAGAGATTTATTTCACTGAGTTAAACATTATTTTAAATGGATATAGAGGCATCTGCTAACACATGTCCCTCTTAATATGGTTAACTGTGCGAGCAGAGCTATGCAGAAGTTAATTTTGTCATTATCAGAAGCATTATCAGTTTTCATTTCATGACTTCCAAAGAGTTTTTGCCATTTATCATTAAAAAGGGACTTGAGAATAGGTTGATTCTTCCACTAGCAACCAATCAATAGTCATGGTGCTCATACAGGATGTGACTTTGAATCTCTCATCTTTCTTTTTTAGTTCTTTCAGTTGAGGGTTTAAATATCTTTTTTTGGCACTGTTGAAAATTTAACTTCCAGAGCTCGGGACTCATTCTTGATGGAGTGTCATGACTGAATATATTTCAGCAAAAGTTTTAGTTCTTTCTGGTGACTCATTATTGTCTTACAATAATTGAAAATTTTCTGATAGGCTGTAGATACAGGTAGAATAGCAGCTTATGTATTTGTTAGACTGTTTAAATATTTCATGAAAAAAGAAACTCCACAGATGTGGCTTTCACTTCAGGAATATTAATGGATTACTTTTTTTTTTAATTTTTATTTTTTTAGTGGATTTAACAGTCTTTGTGTTTCATGTTCACATTTTGGATAAAATCAAATTAATCAGAGACTTGGCATCTAGAAAAGGAAAATGGTAGCAACATGTATGTAGCCTTAAGGTTTATTTCATTTATGTAGTCCTTGGGGATAGTCAAATGAGAAAAATCAATCCAAACTGTATAGTCTGCAACAATTTATAAAATTAAGGGAGAGAGGAATTCTGCGTTTCCCCATGGAGTCTGCCTCAGAAAACTCTGTGTGCAATATGAAATTCAGCACTAGACTATGATCCTGTAAGAACATCAAAACTGAATTAAACTGAAATCTGAACTGCCTAGGTATGTAGTTGAAACTCTAGTGCTAGACTTTTATAGGGAAACTTTTTGATTAGTTGAATATACCCAGTATCTTACTCTTTTGATAAAATGTTGGGGTTCAACATTAAAAAAATCTGCTTGAATGACAGCAAGATGAATCAGTAAAATAAGTAATGTTACTGTCCATGAGGAGTATGTGTCAATAAGCATCCATTTGTACATTTTATCTCTATGATTAGCATGCTTCAAAGTATAAATCTAGCACAAATGACTTGTTATGTGTACTGGGAAAAAAGTAATCCATGGAAGATTTTTTAATTAAAAATCGTTTTGTGTTGCTGGAAGATACATCTGCTTATTATTTCTTTTATAAGGTGAAATGAAAGGTAATTAAAATGAATACTTCACTTTATTAATAGTATGTGATCATAGTGGTTTAGTATCTTCTCTTGTGTTTTAGGGTCAGTTCTGTCTTTGAAAATGAACAAAGTGCAGGCATTTTATTGTATCTTGTGCTGTGTGTTTGAAGTTGTGTAATGGTAGATGATTCTGAATGAATTATGCAATGGCCACTCTTTTTTTTCCCGATGTATCTATTCCACAAAAAAAAAAGCATAATGTGTAGAACTCTAGAGAAAAATCTTAAGCAGCTGAGTACATACATGGATATGAATAACAAAAAGTGCAAGGTGAAATGTTGTGTTGTCTACAGACTCTGTGTCCCTAGTGGAATATCTTGTATGCAAAAATCCATTATTAAGGGCTTAGGTAGCCTTTAATGCTGCATTCTACATCTTGGGCCGGGTGCTTACTTGCTCAAATTGTTCAGATTGGAATGCTGTGACACAGCCTGCTATTTTGTTGGCGCCATTTGAATTTGTGAGTCATAGAATCATTAAGGTTGGAACAGACCTCCAAGATCACCAAGTCCAACCTTTGACAGAATACCACCACGCCCACTAGATCGTATCGCCGGCTGCCAGTTCTGCTCCTTTCTTGAACACTTCTGGGGGCGGTGACTCAACCACTACTCTGGGGACCCTGTTCCAGTGCTTAACCACTCTTTTAGTGAAGAAACTTTTCCTAAATCCAGCCTGAATCTCCTGTGGTACACCTTGAGATCAATTTTGCTA